ATTTCATCTGCCATTTGAGTGCCCAGTACCTCAATCTATCTAAATCCCTCTGCAGAAAAGTAATATCTTGCTCACATTGTGTTACTTTACAGAGTTTTGTGTCATCTGCAAACACTGAAACATGACTTTCAATGCTGTCTTCAAGATCATTTATAAACATGTTAAATGGAAGGGGTCCCAGAACAGACCCCTGAGGGACACCACTTGCCACCTTGTGTGTTTTTATTTATTTATTTATTTCCCTTATATGTTTTGTTACTAGTTTCAAGTTATTGTTGTGAAATCTTACTACTTAATTTCCATACTGACTTATTTCTGTATGCAACCTTATAGTACATAAGACCTCGTTGGCTTGGCTTTGAGCCGTCTGTCGAGTTGCACAGGGAATCAGTTAACATAAGTTAAATTGTCCCTACATTTCTACTACATTAACTGGATACATTATTTAATAAAGCATTAACAAGGTATAGAAGAATTAGGTGAACTTTAGAATGCAAATAGGGTAATACATTTACTTTTAACTTTCCTTTCCACCTGATGTTCTTTTTGGATTTCCTTATCAGTATTTATACCCTGTTTGAATCCTGCTTACTGGTATTTCCTGCAAGTCAGACTGACTTAGAGTCAAGGTTATTGGTATCTTAATTCATATCCAGCAATGGTATTCTGGACTTATGGGTTGAGGATTGATTTAACCAATGGAGAATTGAGCATGTCCAGGTAATTTCACTTGTACAAATTGATGGACCACATATAGAAAGTGCTGTATGTATGTAACAGTCAAATGCTGCTGGTAGTAAATATTCTACGTACAATGGTGTCATATTTTCATGTGCTGCCAATCAATATAATTAAATTATGTATTTCCAAGGTAACATGGCGGTGATGACAAACCTAAGTATGTTGGTCTTCAATAAACAAGATATAGCTCTTACAACTTGTAAGTCAGGGCGTTAGTTTCCCCTCCTGTAGAGGCTGACTATTCAATCTGGACTTGGATGATCAAGTTAGGGCCGCCATCAGAGCATGACAACCATTGCTCTCTGGCAGTCCCGGGCCCCACATCCCCTATGTGCACATTTTTTAAGCAATTATCACTACATATATATGTGCACTGCGGGCCTTTGGCTACCTGTACACTGTAGAGGGGACCCAGCACATTCTTGCTTGCCTTTCCAGCTCCTCTGTCTCTAATGCTAGTGAGCCCCGCAGCCGTCAGAGCGATGCCACGGGTTACCATGGCAATGCTCCACACGGCACACGAGTTAGCGAATGAAAGCAGCTAGAGTTAAGACAGAGTGTGCTGGGCCCCCTCTGCAGTGTACCGTGGCTGGTTTCCTCCACCAAGCCATCGGACCACCAGGGAATAAATGTAAAAAAAAAAAGAAGCTAAAAATGCTTTTACCCCCTTATTTTAAACACACCACATCCTTACACAAACACACACTCTGCATTCACTACATCCTTACACAAACACACATTCTACATTCACTACACACACACTACACTCACTACACACATGCTACATTCACTACACACACACACTACATTCACTACACACACACTACACACATACTCCATTCACTACACATACACACTACATTCGCTACACACACTACATTCACTACACCCGCTACATTCACTACACACACACACTCCATACACACATACTCCATTCACTACACTTACACACACACTCCATTCACCACACACACACACACACACACACACAACTACATTCACTACACATATGCCTACTCAAACACACACTCTGCAGTGACTATGCTCACACTACATCCACTACCCAAACATACACTCTGCAGTCACTAATATTGTGTAGGTCCTCCTTGTGTTGCCATAACAGCTGTGATGCATTGAGGAATACCTAAAACCAGCCAATAAATCCGCACTCATAAAGACGTCTAAATAATCTGCAAGGTAGATCATAAAGATATATGCAGACCTCATAAGTGATAGGCAATCCAAAATCTTAAAACACATGTCAATTAATGCAGACTCTTTCTCCCTCTGAGAAAAAATGCACTAATACAAAAAAATATATAAAAAGAGAAATGCATGCTCCTGCTTAAAAGAGGGAGTGGGGAGGGAACAAAAATATGAAAAACTCTGGATGCGTTTCTCGCTTGTTGTGACTTTCAAAATGTAACTGAAGAAAGGTGTTTTCTGTAATTCAGCTGGTTTTATTACTAATGCATGGAGGCATGGACTCCACAAGACCTCTGAACATGTCCTGTGGAATCTGGCACCAATACATTAGCAACAGATCCTTTAATTCCTGCAAGTTGCGAGGTGAGGCCTCCATGGATCAGACTTGTTGTTCCAGCAGATCCCATAGATGCTCAATCCGATTGAGATTGAGCCCAGCTGACTCCTGGCACCAGAACCACGGTGCTTAGATTGTTCCTTTAAAACTGTACTAGTTAATCAAATTTTATAAACTGGCATTTTTAAAATGTTTAAACATGCTTATGATTCACCAGAGTCCCTTGCATTGTTTTACAAGAT